CAGCTCAGCACAGCAGAAATACTCAGCCTATGACCGAGAATTGCTCGCTATTTACAAAAGCATCAAATACTTTCAGCATATGATTGAGGCTAGGGATTTCGTGATCTATACGGATCACAAGCCCCTAACTCATGCATTCCTAACAAGGAAAGAAAACTGCTCACCGAGACAGTTTCGACACTTAGATTTTATCTCGCAATTCAGTACCGATATATGGCACATTGCAGGAAAAAATAATGTGGTCGCCGATACCTTGTCACGAGTCGGGAAAATCGCACAACCCATAAGTCTCGAAAAGTTAGCCCAATGCCACCAAGCTGATTGCGAATTAAAACTATTGCTGGAATCCAAGAATTCCCTCCAACTGCGAAAAGTACGAGTACCTGGCTCAGACATGGAGATATACTGTGACGACGATGGCAACACATTGAGACCATTCGTCTCGAAGAGTTTGCGTCAACTGGTTTTTGAAAACTTGCACTCACTAAGCCACCCAGGCGGTAGTGCCACAGCAAAACTCGTTGCCGAAAGGTACGTTTGGCCTGGAGTGCGCAAAGATTGCCGAGAGTGGGTACGTGCCTGCCTGCAATGCCAGCGAGCCAAAGTCACACGTCACGTATCTGCACCCATCGGTAACTATTCCTTCCCAAAGTCAAGATTCGCGGTTTTGCATATTGACTTAATTGGGCCCCTACCTATATCCCAAGGCTACCGCTATTGCCTTACAGCCATTGACCGCTTCACACGATGGCCCGAGGCAATACCCCTGCCTGATATAACAGCTGAGACCGTGGCTAAAGCTTTGCTGAGTAGTAGGATATCACGCTTTGGTTGCCCGACGGATATAGTTTCAGACCGTGGTAGACAATTTGAATCTGCTCTCTTTAAGCGCCTATCTGATATCGCAGGATTTAGGCATAGACAAACAACAGCGTATCACCCTGCTTGCAATGAATTAGTGGAGCGATTTCATCGACAGTTGAAGGCTGCTATCATCTGTCATGCGAGTGAAAACTGGGTTGACTGCCTTCCACTCGTTCTATTAGGGATCCGAAGTTCTTTTAAGGAAGACATCAAGGCGTCATCTGCGGAGTTGGTGTATGGGCAACCCTTACGCCTCCCAGGCGAATTATTTGCCCCACAGATCGAAGACACCATCGACGTAAGAGACTACTTATCGCGTCTTCGCAATTTTGTCAAAGAATTGCAACCGCCTCTTACCTCACATCACGGTAGTAAAAAACGACCCATATTCGTTTTTAAAGATCTGGCTACGGCGACCAACGTCTTTGTTAGGGACGACACCATAGGTGGTTCCTTAAAACCAGCTTACACGGGCCCATATGAAGTAGTAGAAAGAGGAGACAAAATATTTAAGTTACTAATGATTGGTAATAAAATATCGGTTTCAATAGACCGAATTAAGCCTGCCCATGTACTGCAACCTACAGACAAACCTGAACAAACACAGTCAAGCACACAATCACACATACAAACTCACACACAAAGTAAACATATTTTGAACAACCGACACACTCCTCCACACCCAGAAAGAAATATTGTCAGAACTCGATTAGGCCGTAGGGTTCAATTTCCTGACTATTATCGTCCTTAACAAGGCCTCTGGAAGGGGGTGATGTGGCGAGTTGTACACTTTATTTGTTGAAAGTTTTAAATATTAATATTTTATAAATAAATTTTAAGTTATTATTAATGTTGTATTATTTATTAAGGTTTTTCAATTGTTAATAAATATGCGGAAAATTTTTAAGATATTACCTATTAATTAATTAATAGGTAATATCTACGAAGTGTCAGCCGGAGAGGACACCTGCCGTCTCGAGATGGTAGTGGACATACCTCATCTTAAAATGAAATGAAAGCGCAGACCATTTTGCTAAAAGTATAGTTACAGCTGATATTGACAGGAAAACCGGTGTTGCAATACCACATACAGATTTATATTCAATTTTAAAGCAACAGTTAAAAGAAGAATGGAAAATGCAATGGAATGCTGTTTTAGAGGCAGGAAAAGGTCGTTGGTATGCATCCATTAATTCAGAATGAAGTATTCCTTGGTTTTCTCGCAACGAGAGATACCATAGCAGAAAATTTTTTACAACAATGTGCAGACTTAGATTTGGCCACTATCGTCTGTACGCTCATCTTTCCAGGATGAGAATAGTAGCATCTGCAACATGCAACTTCTGCGATACAGAAGCAGATCAGACTGCAGAACATATAATATTTAACTGCCCAGCGTACACCATAGAAAGATTGCTATTCATTGAAAAACTTATACATGTTTATGAAACTCAGAAAGCGTCCCGCTTGCCCTGCAAGATGTTCTTAGGAATACTAAGACTGAAAAAGAGAAAGTGATTGTTTCTTGATCCAGCTGCGAAGGAACAATTGAAAAGGAACGAGGGAAGGGTTTGGTCACGGCTCGTTCAACAGCGGGTTTCGTAACCTCCTATGACACCTACGTTGGGTTCGGGAACAACGTATGTGAACCCCGTAACGGAGTAACACACAAGGGTTTCGGCCGCTTCCTTTTTTCTTCATATAGGTTCAGGTGGGGATTACGGGTCTTCCGAGGTCGTCCCGGTCCCAGCGCCTTAATTCTTCAATATGTGTCGCGTTAGCGACACCAGATGGACTGTGGTTATTTTTAGGTGAAAGATCCCTTGGGAATAAAACAGCAATTATCTTCAAACCGCTCCGTGAGAGAGTAATTACTTTCCCTATCACTTCCCTATACGTTTTTCTTTCTTGGTTATACAATATACTGGTAGTTGGTCCCGAACAATTTGTATGAAAACCAGTCTAATGGGGTATCAATAAAGCTATACTCGAAAGAGAACCGCGCCGAAAATTAAACTCAATTACATCAATTTGTACTATCACTCCCTCACGGTTTGCCCAATATCTTTATTTGTATAAGACATAAATTTATACATTTTATTTATAAAGATAGCACAAAAAAAATATCTATACTATGATATACATTACATTTTTATATCACAAAAAACCTTTTATTTATTCAACAAAATATGCCTATTTTACAACATATGTACCAAGTTAGAATTCTTAAATATCTAATATATAAGATTGAAACAATGTTCTTTATTTGAAAATACAACAACAACAATCTTAACTAATACAATAGTTTAATTTACATTTTTCTTACATATTTTACTATTTAAAACACTTTTAAATTTCTTATACAAAACTATCAATATTTCGCTATTCCAAAAGAATTTATGCATGAAAACAACATAGAATTCACCTATTTTGCTCATACAGTCCACCTGTATCATTTTACAAGTCGATTTTACATAAATTGCTGAAATTTACAAACATTAAAATTTCCACTTATTTAAACTTTCAATTCTACAGATTAGCGCGCTGCTGTTATCTGCAGCTAAATGAAAAACTAACTTTCACCCTATACCTCGTTGTAGGTAAAGCAGGTGGCAATTTTAGCCTATTTCTTTGCTGTCCATTATCACAAGATGAGCAATCAATCCCTGCACGACCCCCATTGTCGGCAAGGTAGTATCTGTGGCGAGTTTTACACTTTATTTGTTGAAAGTTTTAAATATTAATATTTTATAAATAAATTTTAAGTTATTATTAATGTATGTTCTATTATTTATTAAGGTTTTTCAATTGTTAATAAATATGCGTAAAATTTTTAAGATATTACCTATTAATAAATTAAATTATGTACAAGCAGACACGCGCCATGCATTTTTATGTATTTGCTAAACGAAGGAATGTAAAACTGGTTCGGTCGCTGCGCCCGCGCCTTCAGGACAGCAGATCGCCAGTTCGTCCGCTTCCGCGTTGCACGTCATACGTATCCTATACCCGTTGCCTGCCTAAGACCCAAGCTTACGCAGTTCGTATAATTAGATTCTCCCTCCTATATATTACTGTATTCCTGTCTACTCATTTGTACCTTCTGTATTGTGTTGTTATTGACCTTTATTTCTGTGTGCCTAGCGCAATAAAAAATATAAGTGTGAGAAAACGGACTATTAATTAATCAGCCCCCATACGCACTTACATATCCAATAAGAATCTCTTATCAGTTATCAAAGTTGTTATCAGTTATCATGTTCTTATCAGATAACACAAAGAAAATATTTTATGAACCAAACATTGAAAATAGACATTTTATTTTTCATACAAAACGTATTCAACTTATATAAGATAATACTTGTGCAATGTTTTAGATTAATTCCACTTATACACAAAGTGATCATTTCGACCGGGGAACAAATCCTGGTCTCTAACTTTATTTCAATATTTCTTTAAATTAACAATGTTATTGGAAAGGTAATTTCAACCGGGGAACTGAACCCGGAAACATAATTTATATCTTAAAAATTCCCTTTATGAATTTATTAAGAAAATATTACTAAGAAAACGACGAACTAGTCCGGCCTGGGAATCGAACCCAAGACCTTCAAATTATTAATTCGATAATTCTTTAAGATTGAACTAAGCGTTTTCTTATAAGATTATTATTGCTTGATAATTTTGCTTTTGGAAGCTATTCGCAATCGGTTAACTAATAAATTGAAATATTTTTTATAGACGCGTCGCCAACAAACACATATTTAGCACTTTGCAATTTTATTCATAATACTGTAAAAGAAATATGAAATGTGTTATCCCTGTTTTTGAAAATATTGGATTGACAAATCTACATGGATTGAAACTTACAAAGATTATAATATAAAGAAGACTTGGCTTTAGCCTTTACGGTTTTTGAAAATATGAAGAATTAAAGAAAATAAGACTTGGATTCGGCTTTTGTGGATTTTGAAGAGATGGAAAGAAGAAAAATAAAAGTTGATTCCGGCCTTTATACTTTAAAATTCTATATATTCAAAATAAAAAAGAAAATGCTGTATGGCTTAGTTCCTATGCCTGTTCCTTCGAGGGAATAATAAAAGCAACAACAACAAGTTTATTTATGTTTATGTGCCAGTGACAGTCATATTTTTATAAACAAATACGAAGTAATATTACAGGGTAAATATTTAGTGTGTATATAGAAATTAGTTTATTTTTTGATGTCGTAGGGCATTCGCTGCGTGAAGCGGGATCTCGCGCCTTGATTGCCTGTTGGGTACATAGCGGATTACGTCGAATGTGAACGTCTCAGCTGCCACGGGATCACCGGTTACCTGGTTAGCGCGGCACCAGTACCTAGTACTGATTAACCGTACGCGGGTACACTGTACAGTCCAAATTCATAAATAATTATATATGCAGAATACCCTTTTTTTTGCAGGACCCTGTTCCTATTCCTGTCCGTGTGCAACCATTTATGAGTTGGGCTGTGTAATTTATGGTTCTTTGCGGGATGAAGAAAGATAAGCAGTGAGGTAGAGCTTTTTCATTGGAAGCTACAACTAGTTTGATTCGAATGGAAAGTTCTGGTAACTTAGCAGAATCCCCAGCGAGCAGTTGTGTAGCATCATGGCAAAGCATTTTGACACAGAATATTTAATAAAACTAGTTGAGGCTAGACCTGTAATATGGGATAAAACCTTGATAACATATAGGGATAGAAATTTGAGAGCTGCAGCTTGGCGCGACATTTGTATCAATTTAAAAGAAGATTTTGAAGACATGGAAGAAAAGGAAAGGCAAGCATTTGGTATGTTTTTAAACAATATTGTAATAAATATGTATTTCTCAATTAAGTTATTTAAACAAGAAAAAAATGTATCATTTTTGAAATAAGTATAAAATCCTCAGAGATAGCCAATTCTTGAGCAATCTAGGAAATTATCACCTAAGGATGTATCTGTAATCTGTAATTGTATGATACTTTAATAAATAAAAAAGTTTTTTTTTATACTAGTCACATTTAAATATCATCATCATTCATTGCATGCAACCTTTTTAGTCTACTGCTGAACATAGGCCTCCCATATAAGGATAATATTTGCCATTGATGCCACAGTTATATGGTATTAGAGCACTTGGCATGTGCAGTTTTTTATTTTTTGGGTATTGATAAATGTAATTATACATTATGATATTCTAATAAACTGTGTAAGGAATCTTTTTATACACTGGTAAACACATGAAATTAATGTGAAAACATAGGCTTAATACTTTCTCATTGCACCTGACTTAGGAAAACAAAGAGGAGTCCCTGTACTTGCACTAATTTAGTTTTATTATAAATGCGTGTTATCTATATATAGTTTTTTATCTATTTCGTATAAGGCTGATTATTCAAGCATCAGATAATTATAAAAGTAATTTATAGGATGAAATACAACATAAATAAATTAAAATTATAGTTGTTAGATTAAAATCATTCAATTGTTTCACTTTTATAAACAGTCAGATTAGATTAGATTATGATAGGCTATTTTTGCAAATCCTTGTCTAAGCACATATTTTGTACGTGGGCAACAGTCAGGTCATAATTTATATTAAGGTTCCATAGATAGCTTTTATCTGATGATTGAATAGCACCCTTTAATATAACTTCTAACAATGGTCATATATCCAACAAATGAGAGATTTGTAATATGATTATTTAATAAAAGTATGTATTGCGATGCTATCTATATATTTGGCAATGTTTGTAAAATGTTATTATTTTTCAGTTAAAGGAGTAGTTAATAAATGGAATCAAACTAGAGATAGCTGGTTGAGAAGCTTAAATGATAAAAAAAGTACAAAGGACTCCATATCCACTGCAAAATTTGTAAAAAGATATGTTTATCACAATCAAATGTTATTTCTAAAAAAAGTTGTAAACCCTGCTCTAACAAGGGAAAGTATTAATGAAGTTTATTTACCAACATTCGATGATACAGAAAAAGATAAAGTTAAAGAAGAAGTTGACAATGAAACTTTTAGTAGTAATCAAAATGAAGAAATCATAAGTGATAGTGATACACAAGAAAATTTTGAAGATTGCATTAAAAATACAAGGAGGTCTGAAGTACCAATGCAAAAATTGAACGCCATGGATAAAAAAATGATGTCTTTTATAAATCATCAACTAAAAAGAAAATCAAATGTTGTGAAAGAGGATCGGAATTTGACTTTCTTTAGGAGTCTTCTTCCATCATTATCCTCACTTAATGATGATCAAACACTTGAATTTCAATCAGGTGTAATTATACTTTTACAAAATATTAAGAGAAAACGTTACTATCGCGAATGCTCTGTGCAAGAAACAGACAGCAATTAGACACATTTTAAAAGCTTTGTTTCACTAAACAATATACCTTAAAATCATCTTAAACTATCCATGTTGTGACTATGTAAGTATATCCACTACCCCATCTGTGACAACTGTGGGTATCATTAGAAAAGACAGAGGGAAACATACCAGAAGATGGTCAGCAACAACCTGCTTGCCAAGTGTGGCAACTACGGCAATTTGCCCCTATGAGATAATCTATGGGGGAAGCCTATGTTCAGCAGTGAACTTTTAACAGTCTGTAACAGTAACTGTCTCATCTAAAATGACTTGATGATTTTTTTAATTTTTTTATAAAAGGAATATTACCAATATAATGAGTCGCATGCATACTGGTAAAGTGACCGAATTAAAAAAAAATGATCTTTTGATAAAACGTAAAAAAATATTTTGCAATTAGGATTTCGGCTGTTTATTTGGACATAAACAAGATGTTAGTTGCACTTTTTTTAAAAGATAGAAAATGAACCACATATTTGATTGAAACTTATGCTATTTATTTTATAGTATAGTATAGTATATTATTGCTGTCAAATTTATTTCTGTAGTTTTAGATTTATCTCTACATAGTATAGAAAAAAGTCTTTTCCCGCCGTCTGTACGCTTAGATCTTTTAAACTACGCCACAGATTTTGACGCAGTTTTCATCAATACACAATGATTCAAAAGGATGGTTTATGTGTATAATACATGCATAGCATATATTATAATTCTTCTGTCCAAGTGTATGTGACTGAACTCCTCCTAAACGACTAGACCGATTTTGATGAAATTTTGTGTGTGTGATTAAGTTAATTGGAGAATGGTTTAGATTCACAATTGGTCCCTGTAGGTGGCGTTGTCGAGATCCAGAAATCAACCGTGCGAAGCCGGGGCGGATTGCTAGTTCAATACTAAATAGCAGTTTGTCTGTTAAAAACCATAAAGACCTTATTAGTTTTATGTTAGTTTATTATTACATTCAAATACTACTTGGCTGTAATTTAAGGTTTAAGTCACATTATTACTAAAAATGATAATACATTTTTCTAGTTAGTATTTTTAATCAACATTAAGGAACAAGTTTGAATTAAAACTATCAAAAAAATATATTTTCATTTTAACACTTAAATTAATAGAATGTTTTTATATTGAACTTAACTTATTTTAGTAGCAAATAACTAAATTAAAAAGGATCTTAACTTTAAAGCAATTAATCAATCAGTCTCATGGTATTCTAAGTAGGTAGGTTTACAATATAAGTTTACAAAACTAGCTCCTCTATCCTCGCTATCGTTTTTAAAAATTATTACGAGTAATATAATGAAAAAAATAGCAATATGTCATTATCTTAAACCTTTAAAATTAACAAACGAAAATATAGTTTCTATTACAAAGTATCTGCCTAAGTAATACCTAGTAGTATCTAATATTATCAAAAATATTTTCGCGTTTAATTTAACTTTTTAATTCTCGACGTTTCGGGTGCTTTACAGCACCAATTTTTACGTGGTAGAGCCATGCTGCAGCTATATTAATAGTATAGTTGTAGCACGAATGGGTCGGCTCGACCGCGGAAGGACCACGCTCTCACAGAATACCAGCGTAAAATGGCAGCTTAGTGCTGCTGTGTTTCGTATGGTGAGTGTAGAGAACCGGAGACCCATTTTACTGGAAAAGAGGCATTCTATCTTAGTCCTCAAGGCTGACAACGCATCTGCATTTTAATTCACAAACGAGGATAGATGCAGATGTCTATGGGCCACAGAAACCACTTACCATCAGGTGGACTGTGTGCTCGTTTATCACCCTAATTCTATATAAAAAAAAACCAATGGTCCCGGGGGGTGGGGGGACTGAGGTGTTTGACGTCCCAATGTCATAGTTAGACCGGTCAGATCTATACGTAGAATGAGCTTATAGTATCTTGAAGTATTGCAGTGGTATGCTTGGATTTAATTTTATTCATTATAGGATCGCAAGCAGATGGTAGCACCCAGCCATCTTCTCTATTGAAATTAGGATGTTTTTTTTTATTTCAATAGCCTCGCGAATCATCCTTGGTAGGAATCGGTGTTCTTTTGCGAGGATTTGTGGTCTATCAAATCTAATGTAATGGCGGGGACGATCTTGAACATGTTCACAAACTGCAGACTTCCCGATACGTCGGTGCTTCACATCTTTTTTTCTTTCTAAAGAAGGATAAAAAACTCAGAAAGTTGTTAGTACATCCATTTTCTACCGACTTCAAAAAGGAGACGGTACTCAATTCGACTGTATGTTTTTTTATGTGTGTTACCTCATAACTTTTTACTGGGTGAACCGATTTCGATGATTCTTTTTTTATTTGAAAGCTGGTGCTTCACATGTGGTCCCATATAAATTGACCAAGGTCTGACCAATAATTTTGGAGTTATTCTTAATAATTTATATTGAAGTCGGTTGTACAAAATTTTTAAAATTTAACTTCGCTCTATAACGTACATATGCCGATAGATAAAAGTTCTCCAATAATTTTGCAAATTTTTCTATACATTGCTATCTAGAAAGCTTGAACTACTAACATTTTTACCCCCGCGCCCAAGAAAGTGTCCCGAAGCGTGTTTTTTTTCAGTTTTCAAGAAAACCGTACAACGTACATGAAAAGTGTGTAGGTACGAAATAATCCTTGATTGATATGCTATCAACCTTGTATACATACAAAAGCGATATCACATATAGTTTCCGCGCAATCTGCCACGAAATGTAAACATTTTTCATTTATCTTTTTTTAATTAAAGTTTTATCAAAAGTTACCAACTTTCCCGTCAAGATATGTATGAATAAAGTAAAGAATAGAATATGCTCTTTAAAAAGAAGTATTTAATTTATTTCTAAACTCTCATTTCACGTTGCTATTCTACTTTTAAAATTTGATCGATTCTGTCATTCAGCGAAATCAGAGATTTAAATATATAGATATACTAAAGAGCGGACATTGGGAACATTTTTATACAAAAACTTAGAGCGTGCGCGTGTGGCACCCTCTAGCTCAAAATAGCAAAACAACGCTAAGCATTTATTAAGACAACATTTTAGCTATTCCCCAGTAGGTGACGCTAATAAATATAACGTCGTTTTAGGAACGTTACCGTTTCGATATGATAGTATCGATAATGTTGTTGAAGATTACTAAGTTTGAAATGTTTTTCGATATAATAATAGGTAATATACATGATTGTTTTATTGTATGAATCTATCATGACTTCCATCACACGAAAAAAATCATATTAACTTTTTACGCCCTTTTAGTGTTATGAAATAAAATATTTAATTTCCAATAACTAAGAATCAATTAAAACAGCAGTCACTTTGGTTGCCACCTTGGTTGCATGACGTCACTCGATCCATTAGCTGCTATAATAATAGCATATGATTGATCGGTCGGCGTTAAAGACACATCGAGAAACACAAAACCAATAAGAGAGCGCCTCTATGTTTTTAAATTCGTTTCTATTACAAAACTACACTTCAAATCTAAAATAATTTAGGAAAACACTGAACTTAAAAGCCGTTTCACGATTTTTCACGTTTCATCAGATGGAGTTCTTAAAGACACTACCCGAATCAATAAAAATTGTTTTTTTTAGTTTTTACGTTCTAGCTCAGGCTTAACCTACATCTTCTTGCATCTAATAACTTTAACAGTAAAAATTGTTTTTAATGTAAGAAATCTATTGCCCTCTCCTATCACTGTAAGCGGGGATCTATAATGGCTTTGTCCTTGAAAACCACCAGACAATGAAGCTCGGTGTAAAACCACGGTTGCTATCAACGTGTTAATAGTGAGTCATTATTTTATATTTTGCATTCATTTAACACAAAAAACTGATTAGAATACATTTTAAACAACATATAATCAATAAACGATGATCGCGTATAGTGATTAAAATTTAGAGCTATATTATTATATGTAAACGTTTTTGAATTGTCGTAATGATACATATTTACTAAACAAAATATCTTCACAATTAGTTTAATGTAAAATAACATTAGACATAACGTATAAAAACAGAAAAGTTATCACATTTTTGATCGAAATTCCCTCATGTTAACATTCCACAAACAAAAATGGCGAAATGTAATTTTAACTTTTTTTTCCTAAATATTTAGTTACTATTATACAGATAAAATTCACTTTCACAGACGACAAATTTCATATAGCACCATCTATAATTTTTTACTCTATTAATAACAGCTATCTTTTGCGCTGTACGCGTTTAAACAGAAAGATATCGTTTGGTGCCTAGACAGGTGAGGCAATAATGGTTTTTGTGGACTATAGTCACCGTGGACGGTTAAATGGATAAGCAACACAGAAAATCTCATCAGCATGCCTAAAAAAAAATTCTCACTCTTGCTCCACATAAAGTAGGGTACTTAGCATAGTTGGTATATGCTACTCATTTTATTGGTATGGGTACAGTATCGTTGACTGTTTTACATCCTTAAATACTGTAAAGGATTAAATCGCCATGCTGTATATTTTTTATCGATAAACGTCGTCAATCACTAACTTTAAAATTGGTAACTAAATAGTGACGTTTACTGGATAACAGAGGAACAGATATTACAATAAAAATAAATGTTCTAGAACAATCTACTAGAAATAAAGTAAAAGTAAAGTAAAGTTGCAGCCTATTTACGTCCCACTGCTGGGCACAGGCCTCCTCTCATTTCTGAGAGGGTTTTAGGGCAAGGAAATATCCGCCGCGCTGCCCCAGTGCGTGTTGGCGAACTTCACATGTCTTCGAAATATTTTTTTCTTATTTCTCAGACATGCAGGTTTCCTCACGATGTTTTCCTTCACCGCCGAGCACGTGGTAAATCAGCACTTAAAATTGCAATTAACAATTTCATTGGTGCCGGCGGGGATCGAACCCGGGTTGCTCGAGTACTGTGAAGCTTACAGCGAGCGCTAACCATCTGAGCTACCACGGCTGATACCACGGCTACTAGAAATAATAAAATTTAAAGATTATTCTATAAATAGGGGGAAGTGGGGCAGATTGATGCATAAAAATTTAAAGTCACTTTTAAGTGCTTAAATAACGTTAAAATGTATATTTGTTATGTTTTCTGCATTGCTACGTCTATAAATATAATAAAAGTAATGAAAAGAAACTGTCTAATTAATGCATAAAAAAAATATAAAGCTTTTAGTAAAAAAAGAGATTTGTATCATTGTGCCCCGTAGGTGGGGCACAATGATACACTGCATGGGGCACTTTGATACAAACTAAAAGTTGTATGGAAATATTAATAATTTGAAACTCTAATATGCTAATAATACTTTTATTGTTCAGAGATCACAATCAGTCTTACATTTATACGAATAAAGTACATTTCTTATTCTAACACGTCATCGTAACCATATTATATCTTTTTTATAGAAACTTTCTATAATTCAACAGAAAAATACTTTTTGTTTTCTTTTGATATAAATCAATCTAAATAAAAAAAACACCAAACGTAACAACAACAACACGTTTTAAATTTCTCTACTGCACTTTATAGGCACTTAAATTAACTGAAAAAGTATAGTGAGATGATGTTCAACATGTGCCTTTTGTAAAATTTCGTTCAGGCAGATGTAAAACTACATCTCGGAAATCAACGCTAGCTTGGTCTTCTATATTCGGAAAAACAAAAACGCATGATCCTGGTTTTTTTCTGAGGTAGAACACTTGGTATTCGGTCGAATTGTATTTGAACAAGACTTTGGTCAAGTAATAGTCTGTAGATGTCTTCTTATCAAATTTAATATGCAAGAAATCTCCAATGTTTATATTTTCGGGATCGGGGGCATAACTATGTTCTTTAACTTCCTCATCAAGTAGCTCATCCAGATCATTGACTCAGTCATTACATAATTTCATCGACTCATTCAGACTGGATTTAGAATCAGACTGCGATTGTAAACAGACTTTTTTTCTTCTAGATTTCTTCGTTTCCGTTAGTCCCATTAATTTTTTTGCAGTTTTCAAAGCTTTGGCTTTCTCCATCATTTTCAGTTGTCGAATTCGTTCTTTTTTATCTTGTAATATCTCCAATCTTTTCTTTACCGGCGTTTCAGTATAAACCCTAGATTTCCCCTTTTTTTCCTTTTCTAGACATAAGACATAAAGACATAAATATTCTTCATATTTTTGGGTATGGGCTTACAGCTTCAAGGGACAAACAGTCGCCGAAGTCGGTGGAAAAATATTTGGAGATGGAGTAACGCTGGAAGATGATGAAGCAAGGCTTAGAGGTGCAGCAAGGTCCAACTGGTGATTGAGAGAATCGACTCCATTAGCTAAAATCTCGTCTCCTGCACAGATTTCATTAACTCTATCTTGACTAGTCTCGATCGCCATTTAAAAAATGGTCTTTGAAATGAACACGAGGAAAGACATACACATACAGGACATACAGAAGGAAGAGCAACACATGTTGCTGTTACTATTCCGCAAAATGTAACTAGCTCTCCCCTTTTGGCAGACACCATTTGTCCTATTTGCCTCTGTCTTTTCAGTCAGAACTTTAGGTGTAGATAAAACAGTAGTTACTCAGTTTCGTCAAGGTTGGTGATCCGATCAGGAGCAAAATTTTTACCTGTATATAATAATAAATAGTGATAAAATTTTATATTGGGGCAGAATGATACGCATCAAAGTGCCCCACAGTTTACCGTATCATTGTGCCCCAACAGAAGTTTTTGTAAAACTTTAACATCATATTTATTTATGTTGATTTATTGAGCTAAAAGCATTAAACTCCTATTTATGGATGGAATAACATACCTTTAGTAAGTATAAATACTTCAAAGAAATTGTAGAATTTGAGTGAATCTCTTTTATATTCCACGAGTGTTTTTAGTTGGGCGAACACAAAACACAAACTATGTCGTCTATCGCCATCGGCTAACTGGATGACGGCGTGGCCACAAGTGCTGCGCTAAGGCAGGCATAGACAAGTTATAATGTTGTCACGACTCGATTACATCTAACCGATTAGGGTATATGTTAGATGAATCAATCTGCCCCTTGCATCAATCTGCCCCGCCTCCCCCTACATGTTATATTTACGATAATAAACCGAAATCACGTTAATTTTTTGCTCAATATCGTGACTTACAATATCTTAATGCACAACCAGGCATGTTTGCTTTAAAAATATTTTTTAAATATATATATATATATATATATATATATATATGTATATATATATACAGGGTATTTTTGGAACGCTCCCTAAGACAGGCGACAGCACCAAGTATACCTTTGATCATGGGTCACAAATAAATTTGATCCTGATGAAAAAATATCATATTTTTACAACGTTTTATTAGCTTTATTCACGCGCCATCATGTTAGTACAGCTAAATGAATCGATAATTTCATAAAAAAAATCATGAAAATACTGAAACATAAAACCAGCAGTGGAAACTGAATTGATATCACCTGACTAATGGAGGTTAATGTACGCGCGAACGGTGAAAAAAGAACGCTGGCCTTGAACTTGGACACTGAGCGATTTATCACATATAGGTACGAAGGGGCGCGACGGGGGAACAATGCTGCATGCTATTGGTTCCCGCGCTTTGTTCGCTCCAAAAATACAGTCGAATACACAGCTTACTTTGCGACTCGCGACGATGTTTTAAAAAGGAAGGAAACAAAAATTATTTATATCTATTGTTTTATGACTAAACTAGTGAACGAAAAGGTAAATATGATAGGAGAAGGTGAATGGGGAAAATTGTGCAGTAAAGTGTTGAGGGAGAATACCGAAAAAATTACCATGTGATCGACCTGATGACGGAAGCT